AAAACAATGTCCCTACCCTCGAAATAAGTAAAACTTGGTTGGGGAAATGCTTTTCTATGAAGCACCTAGGTGAAGCAGCCTATATATTAGGCATCAAGATCTATAGAGATAAATCATAAATACTGCTTGGCCTATGTCAGAGTACATACATAGACAAATGGTTGAGACACTTTAATATGCATGATTCCAAAAAGGATTCATACCTATGCAACATGGCATGTGTTTATCAAAAACATAATCCCGTTCAACTAAGGAAGAAATGGATCGTATGAATTAGATTCCATATGTATCTGCAATAGGATCTATCATGTATGATGTGTTATGTACTCGGCCAGATATCTCGTATGCTTTAAGTGAAATGAGTAGGTACTAATCTGATCCCAGTGATGCTCATTGGGTAGCTGTCAAGAATATCCTTAAGTACTTGAGAAGGACTAAGGACTCATACTTGATATATGGAGGTCAGGAAGAGCTTGTTATAATTGGATACACCGATGCTAGCCTCCAGACAGATAAGGACGACTTTAGATCGCAATCTGGTTATGTGTTCTTCTTAAATGGTGGCTTTGTGAGTTGGAAAAGTTCAAAGCAAGATACAATTGCTGATTCTACAACCGAGGACGAGTATATTGCTGCTTTAAATGCAGCAAAGAATTTGTTTAGATCAAGAAGTTCATTAGTGAACTTGACATAGTCCCGAGAATTGTGGATCCCATTGATCTCTATTGTGATAACAATGGTGTTATATCACAAGCTAAGGAACCTAGATCTCACCAACGATCCAAACACATACTTAGACGTTATCACCACATTCGAGAGATAATTGATCGGGGATATGTGAAGATATGTAGAGTACCTACACTTGACAATGTTGCTAACCCATTAACAAAGCCTCATGCGCACCAGAAGCATGATGGCAATACTAGATCTATGGGGATTAGGGGTATGCCTGATTGGCTCTAGTGCTAGTGGGAGATTGTTGGTGTAAACCCTAGAGGCCAATACTTTAGGTACTTGTATCAAATTATTTATTAATAATAAAAGGAATTTCTTTATTATGTTTTCTTTTCCAAAATAATAATGTTCCTAGAATAGTTCGTCTGTTTAATGAAATGTTAAGTGTGACTTAATCATGAGATCCCATTAAACATAAGAACATTATTCTTAAAGTATCTGTAGTCAAGCTTTATTGCAAAGTGGGATAACATTAAAGCATTGATATTATTATGAAGATAGACAGATGATCACACCTCATGGATCATGGATAAGGAGTTATCTAGTCTTGACATAGGTATGAATATTAGGAGTAATATTTATACTGGATTGACCCACTATGAGAATACTACACAAAATGTTATGGAAGGTGTCATAAGTTATTCTCATGGTGATAATGGGGTATACCACCCTTCGACCTGAAACCATTATGGACCCTAGATGTAGAGTTAAGTACTTTATTGTTGATCAAACATTCCGTAACTGGATGATCATAAAGACAGTTGATGGGTACTTCACAAAGAATGATGAGGAACATGAGTGACCTAGATGGAATTTGTCCATCCTGCATAACAGGATAAATGTCTAAGGGCCCAATATTGAATTGGACAAGGGTGACACGGTTTATGCCTTGTGTTCAATATAGACATAAGGGCAAAAGGATAATTGTACACACAAATATTATCATGGAAAGGTTTTGACAAATCACATGATATTTTCGTGACTTAGATAGCATTGATGTGTTGCTAGATACCGCTCATTGTTTATTATGTTAAATGTGTGATTTAATATAATTTCCAACGTCACGAAAACCTACAGGGTCACACATATAAGGACATGTTGATGAGAGATAGAGTAAATAAGGAACACCGTAAGGTATGACGCACTTAAATGAAATATGGAATATGGTATGGTAACACGCGGTTAAGTGATATGCGGTATATTATAATGTATGTGTGATACAATGGCAGAACTGACTGTTTTTTGTTACTACTGGTTGTGTTTTTTTGTTCGTAAATGTAGGGTAAGCAAGAGTCGCCACCGTCTTTTATTTCATCCAACAGAGGAAAAGGGAAAAAGAACAGAAAAAACCTTTTTCGATATGTTTCTGAGTACGGGGGGTATATTATAGAAAGGGAAGGTGTTAGCACCCTTTCTATTCGTGGTTTTCCATGGGCTCTTAGGTACTTGCTCATTCTTAAATTGCTTTTGTGTGTTTGTGTGTTTGAAAAAGTTTTGAAATTGCATTAGTGCGGCGCTCCACTTTATGGTAACCCT